GTCGCTTCAGTTGTTAATAGCTTGTCTGTGGAACACGGGAATAAAGTGAAACCAAATGCAGACGTTGTGAAGGAGTCAGAGATTGTCCGTCACCTAGGTAAATGCGCCTCCTTCAATCCACGTCTTTATCTATTGCACTTCGATATAGTCAGACTTCCTTCTACGCGCATGTATAGCTCATGACTGCCGGTGCACAGCGCCAAAATGCGCTTATTAATCTTGAATTTCTTTACAGTCTTGTGTACTGGTTGGATCATAAACTTCTTGCCATGAAAAGAGGGGTTTCGAATTTCCGACCAAGGGAACCCGACGTTGGTGTCCAACAGATTATCTGGATCACAGATACTCAAACTCAGAGCATTAGAACCAAGAACAAGCGACATACATTTCCAGATCCTGTGCGATTTGTAGGTACTGAAGCATTGCATCATCCAATCGAAGCCCTGATCGTCGGCTTGTTCATACTGTTCTTTTCCAGAAATCCGTCGATTAATTGGCAAAGTTTAGCAACACAAACGTGGAAGGCCAATAAGACAGCGGCGTCTGTTTCGCAATAGATTGCGCCGGATACTATGCCGCTTTTAACAAGCGACTAACGAAGAACAAGCTGCAGATAGAGACCCCACCTCGGCTGCAGCTGAGGGTCGTCAAAAGCACTTTATACCTAAAAGTCGTTAAAAAATGTCGGGTTCGCTTTTTGCTGCCACCAGTGTAGCGTTCCGAGACTTCTCACCGTGTGGAAGAAGTCAGTAAGTGCAGCTGAATACATGTATTCTGAAGACGACAGGACAAATGGGGCATGGGCGTGGCCCGGAGACCAACCCACGTGTACAAGGGCCAGACAGATTCTATAGTGACTGTCAAACGTCAGGTAGTCACATAAACAAAGCGTTACGAGCAACACAGAACCCTTCCCCCGGTAGACCTCTCTCTTGAGTCAGCAGTGTTATCAGTGCCACAAGAATTGATCTTCGAGGAAATCACGCTTAGAATAAGCTTCAGTGGAAATGAAGAATGTACTCGACCATCCTGGCCGCTATGATGCTTGAATCGGAGATCGGAGGAAGTGTCGCATGCTGGACGACCGCTCTTGATACGTTGTGGAGAACTCGATATCAAACAAAGACCCTTGTGAATTGAAGTAATAGCCAATTCCTACTGACATCCCTACGTGGACAGTGTTGGTAAGGCTCCTAACCACTACTTTTTCGTATGGTTCACAGCGATGTTTATGCATTTTTTACAGCTTACTAGTAGATCATGAAAGTGGAGTGGGCACTGAAGTAGGCGTCCCGCCTAGCTCATGTTGAGGTGACAGAAAATCCCTGAACTTAGATTGTATGCACACAATCATGGCGAAGAGGTTTGTCGCAACAGGTAGGAACGAGGTGAGAAGTAGTAGAAAGTTGAAGCTCGTTTTCCTTCATCAGTGTAGTGACCTTAGATTTCCAATTAGCTATTGGAAGACCTGAGATTTGGCTGAATGCTTGCATTTAGATAGAAAGGTAGGAGACGAGACTGTGGGATGTCTTGACCACCACTTAGTCGGCAAGAGCAAGTTGGCCACCCTTTATACGTCCATCAAACGATAAAAAATTCTTCCTATAACCTCCTCTCTTTGAGTTTCCCTTCCCAAACTTTAACAACTAGACTTTAAGTTTGTAAAAAACAAATAAATGTACAATTTGTGCAGAAACGTGTAGACGAGTAACCACATGGATGTGAGGACGATTGCTACATATCTTCTGCGCCCCACTTATAAGCAAGTTCACGTTCCACCCTTCTGCGTGTGATATCATCAACCAGTTTCCTCTCAAATCCATTGCTCCGATCCACCCCATCCCACCGGTACCCGGGCCATATGCCATACCGATTTGGCGGGGGCTCCGGAGGACCTTTGTAGCGCGGTCTGGAATCCTCCTCGTCCTCTTCCGTCTCCTCAGCACCCTCTTCGCCATCTATAATTGCATAAATGCACAAAGGAACAAACTTACCATCGATTCCATGCTTTCGATGCTTCTTTTTCTTCTCCTTCTTTTCCTTTTCTTTCTTCCGCTTGCGTTTCTCCTCAAAGTATGCGCCCATAGGGTCCTCAGCATGGATGGCCTCTTTCTGTTGTGAGTTAAGGTCCACATCATCGGCGTAGCGAGCCAGTGGTTTCGAGGCCTCGTAACGCGCCTGCTCTAGTTCTAATTCGCGCTCCTTCACCGAGTCTACGCTTTCAGAGGAAGCAGAAAAACGGTGGACAAATAAGTAAACCTATGTTTTACCAGTGTCATACAAAAAACCTTTTAAAATAAGCCACTGAAAATCACGAATTTAGAAACAGAATTGTAATTTCCAAGTGGTAATATGGCCTTAAAAACCAAAGATTTAAACGTTCTAAATTTTGTCTCAGCATAACCGAGATAATGACAGTGATAATCAGAAACACTAGTGACGGACGTACCCCCGATTCCAAAGGGCATACTTGGCTTCCAATTCTGCATTTTTCCTAGCTTTTAAGGCCTGATCACTGATAGCCTCATCAGACAGAATGCCTTTGGTACGTTTGCGAACCTGGGTGACACCCATCGCCTCCTCATCTGCACTGGGTCTAAACATATTCAACTCCAGCTTTGTTTTCTCATCAAAGGCATCCAGCGAGTCGGGCATTTCGCCTCTAGGTAAGTAGGAAAACATGCTTTGTTCAGCAATCAAATATTAGAAGAGCAGAAATTAGCTGTCAGGTCTGTGAATGTTATTAAATCTGCAATTCCATGCAAGTGTTAAGAAGATAATAAGTTAAAAAAATTAAATTTGATGGCGGTAAAAAATCTTGAATCTCAGAATGTCAATAAATGAGGGTACGGCAACCTCAATTTTAGTATGTACGAAGGCAAATAAATTAAGCGGCTTTAAGAACTAAATAAATTTAATTTTCACTAGCACCTATGCATTCACAAATTGTCTTCCCAAAGAAATGACAGAATACCCACTAGTTGGTAATAGTAAATGGCTAAAAGGCAGCAGGGGTAACGCCAACTGGAATATTTGCTTCTATATTCCTGAATTTAGCTCCATTTTCCCAGCTAACTTAAAAAGTTAAAGATCCTCCAAGATTTCATTCATTGTTGCCTATAACAAGGTAAATTTACCATATGCTTTGTATCATTGGTGGCACCGCTACTAGTGAGCTAAATAAATGCATCGGATGAAAATGGTCTGACTGATGCTCAGAGATACTTTAAAAAATAGTTAGACCTTTCCGTCTACCAGATTGAAGATAAATGTTTTCCTCCTTCTGGACTATACGGCTCAACCACTAGTCTTCCTGCTCTCTGGAAAAGGCATCGAATTCGTAAATTCACAAACACATTTAAAATCCTCTGCTCGCTTACGAGACTACGAGTTTTATTACGAATAATTACCACTAAAATACAGCCAATGACGAAACATAACAAAAGTAGAAGCTATACAATGAATTCCAAAAAGATTAAAATGCAGGCATTAACCACCGATTTAAAATTCAGATTTCATGTAACCTCCTGACTGAGAGACAATCAAAAAGGGATATAAAAAATGAAAAAAGGAAACCAGAGATACATACTTTGAAGATACTTCAACAAAGCACATAGTGATACGCAAACGCAGGTACTGACATTCACAAAAACTAACAGTTACTCACATGCCAAAGAACAGTCTGAGACAGCTTGAAAAATAATTGACAAGAACGCAAAAAAGATATTTTGAACCTCGACTAGGCAAGAAAAGTAGGCGCAAAAAGTCACCTAGAATGTAGACCTAAGCACATTAATGTTTATAAAGTCTCAACAGGATTGTACACAAGAAAACCAGCAGCTAGAATGTGATTATACTATAAGATACTTAATAGATTTCAGTAAGAGCAAGATGCTGTTCATTCGATTTTGTCAATATTGCAAAAAGTAGGTTTATTATTTTAACAACAGCAGTAACAATTTAAATCCAAGGACAAACGTTATGTAGTGAACGGATCCATCAGACTTCTGCTTTTTGCCCTTTGGTTGAGACAAGTATCTCTTCAAGTATTCCTCTTTGGAAAGTGGAGCCTTTGGCATCTCCCTAAACCAAAGAAAAATTTTCAACAATTACAATGTTAACGTTTCAGTAAGCAAACATATTTAGGATTTAATAAGTGCATTGACACATGGATACTGAAGAACTTAAAGTTAGTTTAGCAAAACACTAGGGGCCTACAATGCCTGCAATTAGAATCACGAAGTCCACCACACACAGACTTAAAATGCCCTCTTCCCACTTCTTTTACATTTGAGGGATCATAAGCAAAGAAGCAAAATTAAAACGCATTGATTTTGACTTCGAACCCGATTTCCTATTCCAAAATAAAATACTAAAATTTTTTGTTAATATGTAATATTACAGTTAATGGCACATTTTAATAATTTTCTTTTATGTGTTTTTTATATGTCAAGACATTCATAATAGCTGTCCTTTGACAACCATTTTTATGCATGTAGAAACTGTTAGTTTAATCTTCTGCCCTTGAGCCAAAAATCTTAAGAGAGAGTTGGTTGCGGATGGTTAATTTGGCATTAGATATACGAAGAATGGGAATGGAATGCAGAGGGGTTCCTGTCTCTCATGCAAAACGTCAACTTAAGCAATATAGTGTATATTACAATGCTGACCCATTTTTGCTGGATGTAAATATATTTTATCTTAATTTTCTGTCGCCTATGTACTCGTTAAGCACCGGCCTAAATTATTACCCTTGTGGAAGCAGTAAGTGAAGCTGGATACAGGTAGCCCAAGGAGAACGAAGCGAATGGGCCTTAGCATGGCCCGAATTTTAGTCCACATTACAAGGGCCTGCTAAATATTAAAGTGGCCACAAAACGTCAGGTGATCACATAAACAAAGCATTACATCCTTATCCACATTTAATTCGAGTAGTGAGTCTCTGAACTGCTAACATATATTGTCTACAGGACTATTGAAATGGATGGTGAGCTGCTCTATTTATAGCCACTTCAATTGATTTTATCTTTCATTTACGTTCTGTGGCTTCCTTAAGGCTAAAGGGTGCACAGATTTCTACTGAATACTTTGACTCACCCAACAATGGAAAATTGAAGCATTTGTGTGACAAATACTGATTTTTTAGTGGACCTCTATTTAGGAAAGAAGCGGAAGCTGAAATTGAACGCGAGTCCCGCACGCCTACTCCTGTCACTGCTCTTCCTATTTTTTAATGTCTAATTAACCTACTGCAAATAACCCTCTTTTTTAAGCCCGTTGTTTAATTACATGAGGGTAGGTAGGCAGTTCCCAAAATTAGAATTAGTCATATGAGTGACTGCAACTCATGCGAAGCATCGAAAAAATCAAGCTAAGACACTCCTTTACCCCCAACCTTCATTGATGAAATGTGACAGTTGTAAGACATTGTTCAGGTAACCATTAGAGGTCTGACGGTTGCTCACGTATTTGCTCCGCCCTTGTATGCGGGGTTGGTCTTTGGTTCTGTAATGTATAATAGTTTGTTAATTGTACTTTTATAGGTGAGATGCGGTAACTAATTGGGAACGCGAATCATGTGCGTGAAGCCGGCAAGGTCTCTCCCTCAAACTGATATCGCCTACTCGCCTCATCTGCATCCCATTCCTCATTCTCCCTAATAACGAATGCCCAAGAAATCATCTGCAACTAACTGTCACTTGAAGTCTGGGGTTCAGGGACCAGAGACTAGATAGGCAGCTCTAACAGGATCAACCTCAGGCCTAATCCCTTTACTCCTTCTTAAACGAATGAATTCATTCTATCTCAGTGCCTTCTTCCACGTGGTGAGGAGTCTCACACCACTATAACGGTAACAATACATTACTATGGCTAACTTAGTTACCTTTTTCGCAAACTTTATTGAGGGTTGTAATCTAGGAAAGTCGTGGATACGCATCACAATATGCATAATCCCATATGAAAAATGTTAAAATGAGATAAAACTTCCCATTTACGACTTCATAGGAGTAGTTTAAAAATTAGGCAGAGCAATGCTGACCTCCTCCTTATTCTTTTCTTCATGAATATAATAGAAATCGTTATACTTTGTTTGTGTGACCACATGACGTTTGGCAATCACTTTAGGGTTTCTCTGGCACTTATACACGTGTACTGGCCTTCGGACCATGCCCAGGAGCCATCTGCCCAGTCATCTTCGGAATGCATGTATTCAGCTGCACTTACTGACTTCTTGTACCTGCCAGGAAATCCCGGAACACTACAGAAATTCTCTCAAAAATCCATTTTTAAATTTAGAGCAAAAATAGTCTGATTTATACTGCTGGAAATACAAGGAGGTTAATGGCCATTCGATTTTTTGTCACCAAAATGCATCTAATTTTGACTATAAACAAAACCATATTTAATCTTTTATTGCAAATTTCGCGATGTCAGTGCTTATGGTTCGTTTATTCATGTGGGTGCTATAAGTGCTCTTCAAAGAGTTATATAAAGTGGCGAAGAATCCACGAAGTGGACAACATTTTACATCCTTGTGCACTTGATTCTTTCCTTCTCCTAAAGTAAGTGGCATTTCTTGTGTGCCTGTTGTGTGTATGCGTTCATTCCTAAGTCCTTATATGAACATACTAAAATAGCTCCACCATATTAACATAAGCAAAACGAAGAAGATGGTAGCGGCATGTGCAATACCCTACTTATTTGACTATCCATATGATTGACAGTCAATTTAACATTTATCTATCACCTGGTCATGTGGCTGGCTTTCTTTAAATAGGTGAACTTTGCCATGCTCAATGGCTCCTACCTAATGGTAAGTGATGGGGCGCAGCTTGATGATTGCATTAATTTTGAACAATGGTGTAGCGCAAATAGCCTGATTTACATTATAGAGTCTGAGACCTTATTCTCAAACCTTGAAATCGAGAAATTTAGAAGAGGGTTAGTTGTGTAATACATTGTTAATGTGACTACCTGACGTCCAGCGGTCATTTTAGGATTCGTCTGGTCCTCGTACGCGTGGGCTGGCCTTCGGGCCATGCTCAGGTCCATTTGTCCTGTCGTTTTAAGAATATGTGTATCTAGCTGCGCTTACTGACATTTTTAGAAAATCATGTACAGATAGAAAGGGATTGGGTGCGGTTTTGATGAGACAAAACAAAATGTCGCCATGGAAAATAATTTAAACAAGCCTAATGTACCTGATTCATATTCAAATAATTTACACACTTCAGGAATTTTTGAAAAGATATTGCAAATATATTTTACTTGTTAACCCCTATGTCTGATAATTACTTTGACTGTGACTGTGTAACAGCCTTTTATCTCTAGACTGAGTTTTATGACTCTACAGGCAAAAGTTCCAAAATATTTAAGTAATATACTTTGAAAATAATTAATAAATCTTTTTGTTGCAGTATTAAATTTTAAAGGACGTTTATTAATAAAATTTTTTTATTTTGCTTCTGCATTGAAAAAGTTTAAGTGCACCATATGTAATCAACTCATTGAATTGCGAACCTTAAAACTTTCTAGGTTAATCTGATGTCCACACACTTAAACCTATCACACTTCAGTCCAGTACGAAGCATGTATGGGACGGAAGTCTGAAAGGTTTAAACGTGTGATCTTGCGTCTTTGAATTTAAGTTTATGCATACCTTGTTTGTTGAACGCAATTTTTGTGCCATGTTTTAGTTAAATTATGACATGATTACGCATATCTTGGCTTTCACTCTATTGTAAAAGATTTTGACAATTTTGGGTTCTGCATATAACACTTTTATAAGACGCTATGTATATATCATTTTTTACGCATAGTTTTGGAAGGCTTAGATTGCTTAACGTGTTTGGCAGAAGCCTATTTTAAGCCTGCGTTTGTGATATTATTTGCCAAAATACTTGACTGGTTTTCGCATCATTTTTTACTGCTAAAATTTTTGATAATTTCGATTTTCATGTCAAGACATGCGATTATAGAGCATTGATGTAGCGCCTCTTTGCTGTGTTGTTTATATGTTTGACAACTTTTATAATGAGCTTTTTTGTGATATGAAGCCTTGTACTTTTATGCATCGCAAAATTTTTATTAATGACTTTCTTTTTTACTCTCTGCTAATTGTATGTTGGCGTTGATTTTTTCTACACTATTAATTTTTTCATTCATCTCGTTGTCGTGTCACAGTACCGATTAAAATCGATGCTCTTTGGTATGTATTGGTGATCCTGGGAAATCATTTGTCTTCATTGAATCAAAGCAGATCTGATTGCAGACTTCGATCAGGTCTGCTTAAAAATCACTTCACCAGATTTTCTTCGCCTCCCAAACAACAGCTGCAGTTTCTTGTAATTACGCCAACAGTTATGCCGTGCTACGATTGTTGCATTTTACTGTCACTAATTATTTACTTGCATTTGTAAGTAAATTGCAGACATAAAGTTTTTTGATGAACAAATTTTCTAGCAGTCAATGGAGGTGCTATTTCGGGACGCTCGTTGAGAATGTTTTGGTCAGCAATAAAAATAACTACTGTCATTTGATAGTTTACTCCTCTAATAAACTTACACTTTATGAATAACGTTGCACATAAGAATTTTGCGAATTATTCCCGACTTCCAGACTCCCTGTTTGCCTACTTATGTTCTATCTTTCTTGGATAACTTATGCTCGCGAAGAAATTATCCATAAAAGTTTAGTGTAAGACATCCATTTTTAAACATTTCATTGATTGCATCGTTAATATGCATTATCGGGTGCTCGTATCTAGATTAACGAGGGTTTTGCTTTCACAAAAGCGAAAAGACATGAACTTATAAGGGCTAAATGATGTTCGTGGACCAAATAATAAGTGCATTTTGCAAACGCCAACGTCCCTCTTTTCTGTGTCTTCACTGGCCTAGGAATCTTTTTTCAGTCTCCAGTCTCACAAGCGAGTAGAAATGATGGTCAAACTTCCCGTTTCCAAATTTGTCGTATATTAGTTTTGGACGGCAGCATTTGAAATTCGGTATTACTGCTCCCAAAATCGGTCAATATAACACCACTTGAGTCTCTAACTATAACTAACAGTAGGAGCAATTTA